TGTATCTTTCAAAATGTAATTTGAAACGAACTAGTGTTGGAAAGATATGTTTGTAAAGAATTACAAACTGTATTTAAATTATTTCAACACAGTACTCTATGCATTGAAATTATATTTTCAATGCTTTATAATCATAAACAACATCTGAAATTCTTTTTTTTTTTATTTATATCACGGTACCGTTATGCAATGCTAAATTGGAAAACTATTCTTCTTGTTACTCTACTTTAAGAATTCGTTTATTTCCTTAAACCTTATTACACCCTTTAATTCGTGTAAATTTCTGTGCAACAATTTTTATATCTAACGCTTTTGGGAAACTAATGATCGAAAACTTAACAAGAGAGAATAGCACCAAAGCGTGCTCGTAAAATCGTTCCTAGTTATCTCTTTTTGAAAATTCTTAAGAGATACTCTAAAATCAATGCTCGATGGATTACTTCAATCGATTGTATGCAAAATAAAATTAGCTTAACATAATGTAACAGTGAAAAAAATGCTCTAAATTAATGGTTGCTCGAGTTCGTTATTTTCAGTTTGCTTAGAATTTCATCGTGCAAACAATGATAAAAATTTTAATGATTGCTTGATGTATCACAAGATGGTGTTTTAAAAATAATCCCAACATAATTTAATGTTCTTCTCAAACTGTATGATTGCCATGAAGAAAGAGCAATTTATCTATTAAATGAGAGGGTATGGCAGCTCGCCTTGTATCATACAAAACTTGCACCTCCGCGGGAATTCTAATGGGTGGTGCACAACATGCGGGCACACAGTTGTACCTGCAAGCTAACTTTCCCAAATTTGGACATTTTGCAGAAATTTTAGCCCACCACTGAAGAGGACAACAATCGAGTGGTGCTGTGGCTTCCGAATGGTATTGTACAAGTTCAAGATCCGCTTTCTCTTCTGCAGGCATTCCACTTTTTGCTGAACATAAACCCCCAAGTAAAAGTTCCATGCCTACATACAATTCAATCATTATTTACACCGATGATTTGATGTATTGAAATTAACATCATACATACCCGACAGTCGACTCTTTTTATTTGGTGGCTCTTCTTCGATTTTAATACTTGTGCTATCACCAGATTCTTCCTGTATTAGTTTTGTCAGCATCTCCTTAATTGGAGTTGCAACTAAGTTCTTGTCTTCTTCAGTGGCATATGGAAGTTGTTTAAACCTACAGTAAAACAGCAAAAAGATTATTTAAAGTAAAACTAGCAGTACAAAGATGTATAGATAAAAATTTATAATAACCTTGGATCCAGAGTAGTGGCGATTTGAAGCAGAAGAGTAACGTTGTAATCTGCGTATCTATCGCAAAGCATGTCAGACAATGATTCCTTGAAAGATCTCGCTATATCGCTATCAGTTTCTTTTACTTTCAAATGAGAAGATACGAGTTGCCAAAGCAATGGCTTTAGTAAAGATATCAGAGGCATTTTCTCCTCGCTGAGCGTCATAATAGTAACTTTAAACGGCTCAAGAACGTTTACAAGATCTTCTACAATTTTCCACTGTTCGTTCGTTAGATCGACCATCTCTTGATCAACGCCTTCCAAACTTTCTAAAATCGATGTTACGATGTTACGACGCAGTACTATTTGCTCGAGCATGTTGTACGTTGATGTCCAAACAGATGGATAATCCATGAGCATTGTGTTTTCATCCAACTGCAACAATGTATCAAAGAAATATTTATTAAATTAACCATACATTATCAATTACTTTTTGAGTAACTACATATATAATACAATCTGAAATTTACCTCCAACAATTGCTCTTGCATAGCTAGAGCTGCAGATGCAGCTGGGTGACTTATGATAGCTCCAATAGCTGCTCTGCATTTAGATAATATAGAAGCAACATCTGGATTTTCAAAACAAGCCTGAGCACACACTTGCAAAGTATAAAGCAAACAGGGAACTAATGTTAATCCCCGATTTGTTAATGCAGACAACAGTTCTGTCCTAGATGTAGCTATTACTACTGCAGTTATCCTTTCGATTTTCAAATCCCAGTCGAGCAACAAAGAATCTATTGTACTGCCCCATTGAGATTCTTCCCAATCCAAAGGTGCATGAACTGTACTTAAGACTTTACATTCTAAAACTGGTTCACCGGAATTCTGGTAGTACACAGAAATAGTAACAAAACGTTCATCTGAATTTGATCTCCACTCTTCGACGGTCAAGCCCACTTCTGTGCTAATACAAGATAGAGTGGCAGCCACAGATTCACGGAAGGTGTCATAAATTTTTGGAATAAGTTCTTCTTCTAGCTTATTTTTACTTGGAATTTCACATGGTGACCTTAATGTTGCAACTAGCCTTTGAAAGCCCCGACCTTCCACTACCTCTGGTAATTGTAAATCCATTATAATAAATTCTGCTATAGCATCGGATACGGTTTTTCCATCGATACTCGACTGATTAATAGGGTTTTCCTCTGGCATAAGAAAGGCCACATTTTGACTATTGTTTGCAATATTGGAACCACTTTTTATCATAACACGTAACGGTTGACCAATCGCAATGTCATCCTCGATATTAGATAAACTTATATTTGGGTCTGTAACAAACTGAATGTCCCCATCTATCTGCACAGTACCATCAGCATTAGTAGTGTAAATATGTTGTGCGGAGGTTAAACCTGCCTTTAATAATCTCTTTTGAGCCCTCCGATCTTTAGTTTCTTGCGAAAGTACCTGTCTCCGCGGTGGATTAGTAGCTTCCAGTTCTAACAGTTCTTGTGCATGTTTGTTTTGCAGGTGCATACGCAAGTTGCTGGTGTTACGGTTATACGCGATTTGAGTTTTGCAAAGTATGCAAACGATTTTAACTTTAGTGAGGATATCTCCGTCGTCAGTAGCTGGAAACCCAAAGAATTTCCAATAAATACTTCTCATCGACATAGGCACCACTAATTTCTTGTAAGTATAAGTATGCTTTTCTTCCATCATTTTAGCTAATACCATTTGCATTTCGCTCTTGGAATCATCTGGTATGCTAGATTTTCCGTTGTTCGGTAATATAATTGATTTACTTTCCATGATTGTCAATCAAAATACATACGTGCCGGTGCGCCTTATCTTCCGCTTAAAATACAGATATTTCAATATTTCAACTGTGTTTACTACTTCATTGCGTTTGTTTCTCATCAAAATGGTGGATTTTTGTTGCATAATTTCAAATGCAACCGCTTCGAACGATGCATGCTTGTGTTTTAGAATATCTTCGCTTGACTCGTGGTTGCAAAGGTATAACGAATTTACCGCGAAGAATCCGATATCTCAAAGCGGCGTTTGACGAATTATTTCACAGATATCGAACTTCAATTTCTCGTTTCGAAAAGAACGATGCACGATCGGTTATCGACCACCTCTCGTTACGATGCTATCGACTTTGGTTCACTTGTTCAAAGAAATATCGCTACGGAGAGCTCTCAACTAATCGATCCCACAAAATGGTTGCGGTTTCGACGTGGCTCCATCTGTATCGATTACTCGAATCCGCGTTGTACACATAATGTACCGTGTTACGTAGGGTGTACGTATTTCTATTCAAATAAAACGTGAAAAATTTCATTAGAACAAAAAGAACTCATTTCATGAAATTAGAGGATTACGAAAATGTACAACAGAAAGAACATATGTTGCACATAACTGTTCGTATCGGTGGTTTATCTGCATAAGTTAAGAATAACAATTCATCATCACGCTTTGACTCGTTTCAGTTCGTCCGACTTTCGATCGACTATCGTTTGTATGAAATTTATGTAAATATTAACAAAAGTCTTTTAAGTAAGGAGCTCGGAATAATTCATATATGTCACCACGAATATAGGAAATGTATTTGCTCAAGAAGTATAAAACGTTATCGTTGCTAATACTATGGAGGTTAAGTTCCACTTTCCTTGTACAAACTGCTCACGTACCAGATGAATATTGGCAATCGCTGGAAGTCGCTCATCGTTTAGCATTTGGATATGGATATCTGACGTGGGAGTGGACTTTAAACGTTCGGAATTACCTATATCCATTTTTGATGTCTGTAATCTACAGAATATTGGCACTGGCGTCGTTAGATTATGTAACAATCTTGATAATGGTACCTCGAATGATCCAAGCAATCCTTAGTGCTTATGGAGAGTATAGATTCTACAAATGGACACAAAACAAACGGACCATGTACAGTTTATGTATAAATTGGTATTGGTATTATTGTGCTACAAGGACGCTTATAAATACAGTAGAAACTGCGCTTACTATGATAGCATTGTCTATGTTTCCGTGGCGCGACGGTCACATTAGGAATCTAAACTTTTTATGGATCGTTGGGTTCCTATGCACAATGAGACCCACTGCAGCTATCTTATGGTTACCTCTGTGCATTTATCATTTCTGCACTAACTGGAAGAATAAGTTAACATTGATCGGTCAATACAGTATTATAGCCATTGTTTGTTGTACTAGTTCAATTCTGTTAGATAGTTTCTTCTGTAATACTTTAGTTGTTTCCCCTTGGGAATTCTTTCGCGTAAACGTTTTGTACAAGATAGGAGATTTTTACGGGACCCACCATTTCTTGTGGTACATTTTATGTGGTCTACCGGTACTTTTGGGATTGTATTACGTTGTCTTTTTTGTATGCGTTTGGGAGATAGTAAAACATCCAACGTATTTTCATCGTCAGACGGTTATGTTATTCACGATCGTTTGGACGATCTGCGTATATTCTTTACTGTCTCACAAAGAATTCCGATTTTTACTGCCTCTGTTACCAATGCTAATATTCATATGCACTTCCTGTACATATCGTGTGGACGCAAACTCTACCAGAATAGAGAGACAAATATTTGTAGTCTTATTACTAATTACCAATGTCGTTCCCGGCTTTTACTTCTCCATGATACACCAACGCGGATCGTTGGATGTAATGAATATTATGCACAAAGAAATTACCGATACAAATGATAATAAGGCTGACATACTATTTTTAACACCCTGCCACGCTACTCCATTGTACAGTCATTTACATGTAAACGTATCCGCAACGATTTTAACTTGCGAGCCTAATTTCCATCATTCAAAAAATTATATCGACGAAGCAGACACATTTTTTGTGAATCCGGCGCGATGGCTTAGTCATCGTTACAACGAAAAAGAAAATGTAACAATTCCTAGCCACGTGATAACATTCGACAATGTTTCGCCGGAAATAAGTGAATTCTTAGAAAATTATCGACTCTTGTCCAAGGTGTTTTATTCGCTTCATCCTCAGCCGAACTACGGAAGATACATTCATGTATATAAACGCAAATAAAATTGTTCCCTCTGTATTGTAAGAAACAAAACGCGATTTCTATTAGGTTGTCCCATATAAGTTTCTTCCGTGCCACGCTATGAGTGACTCTAAGTGGCTGTATTTATATAAACATGCAGGCTTATGTCTTAGTCGTTTATGGCATCGGTTTCAGTCGTCCCAGAGCTCTTTCAAAGTACGTTTCGTTGGTGACAAGATCTCTTTTAAAATTTTTTCTGCACCGTTCAATATGGTGAGCCAAAAGATGCATTTGCGGCATGTTATGCTTCATTGCTTTAAAAAAGGCAATAGTGCAAAGGACACTGCAGACGAGATTTGCACCGTTTACGGGAGTGGTACTACCACTATTAGGACCGTTCGCGATTGGTTTAAGAAATTTAGAGCTGGCAATTTCGAGTTGAAAGATGAAGACTGTTGCGAAGCCTGGACTTCATCTGAAGAAGGTTCTTCTGTGCATTTGGTGGGACTGGAAATGTGTAGTGTACTACGAGCTCCTTCCTCAAGGTGATACGATCAATGCTGACAAATATTGCAATCAACTGAATCAACTGAAAGCCGCCATAGCAGAAAAACGGCCAGAATTGGCGAACCGACGAGGCGTCGTTTTCCATCACGACAACGCAAGACCGCATGTTGTGTTAGCCGTAAGGCAAAAATTATTATAGTTTGATTGGGACGTTCTACCTCATCCTCCATACTCCCCAGACCTTGCTCCATCCGATTACTACTTGTTCCTCTCCTTAAAAAATTCTGCCCGTGGTAAATCTTTCAAATTCGTAAGCGAAATAAAAACGCACCTAGATGAATATTTTACAAGTAAGCTTCAACAATTTTGGAAAGAGGGCATAATGAGACTTCCTGAGAGATGGAAGAAGGTTATAGAACAGAACGGTTCACATATATAACATAATAAATCCATCTTAAACAAGAAATATCGTGTATTCATTTCGCATCAAAAAAAGGGAAGAAACTTATGGGACATCCTAATATATTTTATTCGTTTCAGAAACGCGTTCACGAGTTACAATCGACGTTTACCGGTATGTTATCATCCAAGCTTCTACCGACTGCGACCGTTTCAACCAGTAAAATCAATCGACCTGATCCAGTTGAAAATGAATTCCATCGACCAGCAAACACATCTACGCTAAACATGCCGCCAGTAACATATCTGTGCGAACTTTGTCCGTTTTCGAACAACTTGCTCTAGCAAACGAGTATTCTTCTTACAAAAAGCAGCCGCTCTGGTATGCATTATCAACTTCTGCGAAGCACAATTTACATTCGCCGCTGTTCGTCGCCGTGAACAGGTCGCGAGAAATAAAAAGAACAAACATCGTGCTCCCCAGTTTTTCGCGAGAAGCATATCGGTTGGTACGTTGGGAGTGACTCCCGGGGATACATGGCTCAAGAGGGCGGTCGTAATGACGGAAATAATTGAGCAACGGCGGCGGGAGGAGTCGAGATCCCGTCGGGTAGTTTGCGGAGTGGAAGACCGACCCGATCGAGAGGCGGTGGTCAACCACGAATGGTGGCAGCGCGTACTATACTTTATAGCCTGCGTTTCAACGTTACCTCCGCGCTTCCATTGCGATGCCTATGTCAACTCGATTCGCACGAGAGTTCGCCGGTAGAGGGAGCGAGGCGAGCTTTTTCGCGAGGGCATTCCCGCTTTTCCATTTCTACGGGAAAGCTCGGGTGACGACGATTAATATACTAAATGGGTCTTAGTAATAATGGTGTTCGCTACGAAGCGAAAATTCGCCGAGGTACGAACCCGTACCGTTATCACCAGGGTTCGGATCTCGGAGACGCTGTGAGAACGATTGCGATTCTAACGGTACATGCTCGCCCGGCTCCGCTGCTTAATACCGATCTATCAAATCGCGATATCGTTATTAACGTCGCCCATTGTCTCGTAGCCGCGCGCTTCTACGCAGTATTTGTTCTCGCAGCTTGGAGAATGAACCCGAGCAAGAGCCAGACTAGGATCTTCTCTCTGTACACAGTTAGGTATACATGAAAAAATAGAGCTTCGAAAGGCGAATGATCCGCGGCGAGGTTGCCAAGAAAGTCGGCGCTTTGCCGATCGAGATTTGAATCCGGTCTGCTTCCGGTTCTCTCTCCGAGCTCCGAAATAAATAGTACATAGATGGGAATGACGGCTCGATCGTCGCGAACGCGTCTCGTCGGTTGCAACGAGAAAAACGTGCGGCGAGAATGCGGATGGAGAATGGAGAGGGACGGGAAAGCAACGGACAGATCCCAGAGAGATGCTAAGTCCGGAATATAATGGTTGCGATCGGCCGGGCGAAAGAAAGGCGGACGTGGTAAAGTAACGCAAGGTAAAGTAAGGTAAGGTAACTGGTGGCTGGTGGCTGTAATCGAAGGTACACGGCGGAGATGGTGCAAGCGGGATAGAAGGAAATATAAAGAGGGGACTGACTACATGGAGTCAACGTTCCGAGCGGGTCAGCGACCAGCCTGTCTTCTCTCTCGTCTTCCTTCTCCCGTGTTCCTTCCTCTATCTGCTCTTCCCTCGGTGCCGGTTTTTTCGTATTAGCGAAACCGTATTACCAAAGTTTCCCATTTGTTCGTCGCTGGTAAGCCACCGTGACTCGCGCTGCGGATTCGCCGGGATCAATTCACGCAGCGTCGATTTACGCTCCTTCGACTTCTTCTTCTTCTTCTTCTTCTTCTTCAGGCCCTGAACAGATTTTCGCGTCGTATTAGCATAGATCGAAAGAGGTATAAATTAAATAAACAAATCAGCGACGATATTCGAGCATAATGGAAACCGTTCGCGGAAGGAGCAGCGTGATTTGCGACGGTTTGAAAGTTACGTAGCGCAGCTACGTGTACGAAAGGCACCGCGAGTATAATCCTCGGTTCGAGAGAAAGTTCTGCGCAACGGTGAATCCGCTCCCCTTCCTTCTATCGTGAAAGAGCATCCGAAACGGATCGTTCATCGCGAACTCGAGCGGCATTATATACGTCGAAATATTCGCAAACGATTCCAGCGGATCTAACGTTCTTCTCTCTCTCGAAAACCGTGAAGAGCCCTGCAATATTTGTATTCGAGTTTATCTTGTATTCCGCGGGTATTCGAGCAACGTGGACAACTTTGTACAATAAAAAAAAGAAAAAAGAAAAAGAGGTACATACCTCTTCAACGGTGCACGCGTGCTTACGCCCCTGTGGCAGATATTATAATTGCCCGCTGACGATCGCCAGTGGGTCAAGTTATACAGCAACTTAACGTTAATGCGTCCACGATTACGCTTGTGCGCGCGATACATCTTCTTTACAAATATATTTCTTTTGCATTCCGAATCGCCGGTGTTCTAGAACGATCATCCTGCGCTACCGTTGCGCTCAGCGGCTAGATCGTGGTTTTCGGTGGGATCCCTTGACATTAACCAGGTGTCCGACAGGTGTTTCTGCCTCGAAGAACGTTGCTTCTCCCCTCTGTGCTCGCCTTTCGTTCTTCCGCCTATAGCTCGTCCGCCCTCGCCCGGCGAGAAAATGTCTCCCGAAGTAAAAAAAAGAATAACACGTCCGTGAATCGCGAGCATTTTTCATCGGCGTCGTCGTCGTCTTGAGACGAGCGGCAGATCGAAAGCGGAGATCGAAGTCTCCGGCGACTGGATAGACGAGCCTAGGCGAAGCAGCGTCGGCAACGGGTCGCGTGTTTCGAAGCCGATGTTCCCGGGTGACCTTGCATCGTCAGCCAAATCGGCTGTTTGGTATTCCGTGCGTTGATTATGCACGACGACGGTCTTTCCGGTGAACCCAGAAAACGCGCACGTTCCCCACCTCTACCTATTTCGAAACGTGTCGCGACCATCCGCGACGATCATCTTCCTTTTTCGTCGTTTCTTGACTACGTCTCCCTGGACGGATGAACACCTACAACACGAACGAGAAATCGTAATTCGTGTTTCACACCGTTGATGATTTTATTTTTCTTTACGCGTTCGATATATATAAGGCGCTTTTCGTTCGACGCGCATCGCTTTACCTTCGCCTTATCTCGTCTATCTTTCCCGTCGAATGGCAATCATTATACTTATTATTAACTTGCAGAGATCGGTTGCACGATAAGAAGGCTCGTCGGAAGGCTGTATACGCGCGCGATGCTTTCGCGCGGCTCGAACCGCCATTTTGGTTTCCCCTATAAAATCCGGAGCGTGTCTCGCAGTCGGATAATATATCTCTGGTCCCGGCTAAGTTATTCCTCGTTTCTGCGTGGACTGAAAAAGGAAGCGACGATCCGCGTAAAAAACTAGGCATTATGCATGCGCGCGGTAGTACTTAAAAACTCGCGTCGTCGTCATCGTTGTCGTCGTCGTGGTAGTGTCTGTTTTACGGCAACGCGAGTCTCGCTCCTACGTGTACACTTATACAGTGTACAGAATCAATATGACACGGAAGGTTCAGAGTCCGACATCGTAAACCGGCTTTCCTTACACTGTCGATGATGCAGACTTTGCTCTCCCAGCGGAGACTTTGGTCTCGGTTGTTGCCGCCGCGGTTTCTCGCCGTTCTCCCGATCTACACCTGTTCCTGGATGGGTCCTTAGCCACCTAATTTCGCAACTGGCACACGCCTGTGCCCCGTCGTCGCCTTCCCCGTCACGTTTCAATCCTTCGCACGGCTCTTCGCGTAATCTGAAATCTAAACGCCCCGGTGTTTTTAATCTGGAATCTCCAGAAGGAATGTGAAAGTAAGATGAGCGTGTTCCTCTCGCGTCTCGATTATCTTAATTTCAGGTTTTTCTGAAAACGGCGAATCGAAACAAAGACATCGAGTGCTTAATATACGCGGAAACCGACGGCGTGCTCGCCAGAGAGGAGACATTCGGTCGACGAAAGCCGACGTTACGCTCCTTGCGGGTGTCCGGTAATTATAACACGGAATAACGAGCTTACAAAAACGGTAAACACGGGTACTATTTCATAATCGTTGCGCGGCCGACCCGATCACGAGGAAGGACAAATAATGCGACACGTGTGTGTGTGTGTGTGTGGGTAAGTGCGCGCGGCGGTTACACGACAAGCGGGCAGTCCCTGTACGGCTGTATATGTGTGTTTTCGCGGCGGCCAGAAGACGAAATCGGCATCCGCGCGATGTCCATTCTCGATCCTTGGTCCATCGTAGACCAAGCGGATGATGCACTTGTCCTCCTCCGGCAGTCGTTACGCGGCGTCGAGGCCAACCAATCACGGCTGGCAGGCAACAGGTGACCGACCAATCCGGTCCCTCTGTCGCGACACCGTCGCGCGTCGGCTGCTCTTGCGTACCGCTAAGCATTTCGCTTCACGGATATTCCAACGAAATCCCGACGACGATCGCTTTCCCACTTGGTCGCCCGTTTTCAGTTTCTCCGTCTCTCCGGAGGGTTCTCTTCTCGTTTTCCCCCCACCCGGTGGCCCAAGATCGTGGCAACCTGTTGCTCGTCGGCTTTCCTCCGCTCTCTTTCGCCCTCCTTCGCCTCTCCTTCGCTCTCCTTCCTAAGACGCCTGAAAACCATGAAACGCGTATTACGAACCCGGCCACCCGATCACCGCTCGAAGTACCTGTATTTCTGTTATTTCGAAATCTCCCGAATCGTTCTCCTCTTCGAAGGATAAGACGAATACAGTCACTTCGGCGCCGCCATATCAAGCTTCGCGCAATGGTCGCCGACGTCTACCTAAAATTTGTAACGTTTCGTTTTAGCGCGTTATTGCCCAAGCTGTCCCTCTGATTATTTTTACGCTAATATCAAGCTCCGCGCGATGGTCGCTGTGTACGCGTACGTCTACCTAAAATTTGTAACCTTCCGTTTTAGCGTGCTATCGTCTAAGCTATCCCTCTGATTATTTTTATTCGAATATCAAGCTCCGCGCGATGATCGCCGTGTACGCGTACGTCTACCTAAAATTTGTAACGTTCCGTTTTAGCGCGCTATCGTCCAAGCTGTTCCTCTGATTATTTTGATGCAAAAACCTTCATGATCCTCGCCGGCGATTTCGATCCAACGGCCGGGCAACTTTCCGCCTCCTCGAACGCAACCGCGGGCAAGAGCCTGCGGATGAAAAACAACATGAAGAATCGCTCGAACGATTTAAATAGTTCCCTCGCGCATTTAATGGGCTAACAATAAGTATAAAAGGAGGGTCGGATTTCTCTACCACCTCGCGACACGACGCCGATGTGTTTCCTCTGTTCGATTCTGGAAGCTGTACGCTTCACGCACGTACTCACACGACCGAGCGGAATTGCTTCGATCAGCTCCGATCTGCTTCGAAATCGTAAAACGCGATTGGAGCGATTTCCTGGCGATCGTGTGTCCTGCTCGATCGCGTGCAGCTTAAGTGCAGGAAGCATTTTCCAAAAGCTGACCGGTCGTAATGGAGAAGAAAGATAGAGAGAGAAAGAGAGAGAGAAAAAAAGGAACGTAACAGTGGAACAAGACATGCTCGTGCACGCACGCTATCAAGGCCGTGATCGCGTTATGGAGGGAGCACCGAAACGGGGGCACAAGCGACGGTAAGAACCTGTGATCTCTTACAACTTGTTAGAGCCTCCTTCTGTTCAAAGGGAGCGCGCGATGTGGTCGCCATTTTCCTTTCCTTCGGCGGGCGAGCACGCCTAACGTTGACCCCTCGCGTTGCTGCGTCTCGCGGACCCGTTCCCTGAAACAATCCGTCGACATCATCGGTCCCGAAATCCATCCGAGCGATAGGACAGCGCTCGAACCTACTTCGAAATTCCGCCGAGCGTCGCCGATGATTTTTTCGCAGGATCGCGGAGACGCGGCGCTTTCGTTTGATCCTGCGAACCGGAAGCGGTCCGCGGCCAGCCTCGGGAATCGTCGAGAACGTTTCGGCCCCCGGTCGTCGCGAATCGAGCTGGAAAAGAAAAGCGGTCGCAGTCATTTCGGTTGGCGATCGAATTTATCAGCGTTATCGTATAACAGGTGACGACGAAGATTGCGGGAACTGCAGACTCGCAGCCAGCGTCTATCGCCTTGGCCGCGTCGAATCCGCGCGACGGTTCTTGCCGCTACTATGGAACGGTACCTAACATTGTTTCTTATCGTGGCGCGATAATGCCGAACCGGCGATGTTTACGTTCTGCAATCGTATCGAACGGTGTTTGCACGGTTGCCAGTTCGGCCTAATGTCGTGAATCTTTTTCACACGGAACGGCGGAAGCATTCGCCGTTGGCATCTCGAAGCGATCGCGCTCCGCACAGTGTACAACGATCTCGCGGGCATAAAGTCGATCCACGTAAAAACCGCTCGTCTTACGATTCAGGCTAAGACCGTAATGGAGCCGTTTTTCGGTCGGTCGGACCGTCCGCTGAACGCGCACGATGGCTAACGCGAGGCGCAACGCGTGCCGTGCACGTCGACGAACGAAGCCATTGTTCGCGTCTTCTTGCCAACGGCGGATCGACAGAAAAACGGCACCGCTACGTAGCCGCCTTAGACTTACCGATTACAGCCGCGACCGACTCTCCGAATCGTTATCGATCGCGTCCCGATCCTGATATTTCCACGCTCGAGTCGAAGAGGTGAACGTACCGCGCGTAACGCTGCTCTTATCCGTGTCCCCGAATTACGTAATTCGGATAAGGGAAGTTCCGGCGTGCGTTAACCTAACCGTGAACGCAGCGTCGATACCGTTTTAACGACGTCGTTTTCGATATCGATACGCGAGGTTGGTTCGAAATCCAAATCCGTTGCGGCCGTCTACGGGCGAGCGACAACGTTCCGGGTTGTTCCTTGTTCAACGGCCGCGCTCTGACCGAGAATTTCCCAGACAAATGCGCGCACCTGATTTCTAACGGTTCCCGGGACGTTCCGTGTGAAACGGATCGGGTCGCGGGACGGTGACGAGAATCGTATTTTCGCGGAGGTACGATTTCGTGTGCGGCACGGCCATCTCCGGCCGGACGCGTCCATTCGATCGGTCGCCGTTCGAATCGTAACGCATTTTCCCGGGGACGCGAGTCCGCCGATATCGCCGCCGGCATATATACATATCGAGGATCGAAGGGTCCGCCATGAACAGGTAAAACGTGGCGCTCGGAGTGGAAAATAATGGTCGGGTAGCGGGGTGAGCGTACCGCAAGGCGAGTGGAATGTCTGCGCACCTGGCCAGTGCGTCGCCGATCCGCTCCGGCTCTCCGAGACCTGCCTTTCCCTTCGCCTCTTTCGACCTGGCTGTGTTACGTTTTCACCGAAACCGACAGGACGCGGGACCGAGAGCGACACACGGGTGAAGACATACGTTCTTGTCTATCGGTGTCTCGAATCCGGCGGAATCGTGCAGCAGAGAAGTTTCTCGAATTTCAAACCGTGCCCGTGGTGCCCGTGGTGCCCGTGCTCGTGCCGTTATCGTCGAGTTTCCGCGTTTTTTCTCGCCTCGCCGCTGTCTCCGTCTTCATCGTGCCCGTTCCTAACCTAACACGGTCGGTCTTCGTCGCAACCACGGGACGGCTCGAGTTCACGGAGGTGCGAGAGAGATAGAGCAGACGAGCCAGAAAGAGAGAGAGAGGGAGGGAGAGCGAGAGAGAAAGGTAGGAGAAGAGAGACACCTTCGGAGAGAGGGGTCTCTCTAGCCAACGAGGGGCCGGGTTCGATGCGCAGTCGCCAGGTGAGGCAACGACGACGTGTGCGCGCAACGGTCGGCCGGTTGTTGGCCAGTGTTGCACGAAGCCGAAGCCACTCGCGACGGCTCGCCGTCGACAGACAGACAATCCGATCCGCGGAGAAACGATTCGCCTCGCGGGTGCTGCTGGCAGTTCGCGAATCAATCGTGCGACATCTTCGGAAACGTGGTGGCTCGCGGAATCCGTGCTGCTTCTAGACGAACGCGCTCTTGTGTATCGTTCGTCAGGATATCGCGATCGGAATTGGAGTCGATGCGACATCGGTATCGGTATCGGTTTGCCGGCCCATAACCTCCAAGAGAAGGAACAGGCGACCAGAACACCATTGGCAGGACAACGGACGGAGGTGTACCCGACATGCCGCGCATCGCCCGACAGGATCGCGGGAGTCAGTGAATTGTTAAAAAAAAGTGCGTAGTCCGGTGGTGGAGCACAGGTATCCAGGACACGGTGGCGCGTTCGTCCTCGTTCCTATCGCGTGAAAAGTGCTGGAAAAAAAAGGAATAAAGTCTCCGTCGAACGTTCGGTTTCTGGTGTGTCACGTTGCTGCTGCTGCTGCTGTTGCTGCTCTGTAGTGGGAATATATATAATTCAGTGTTGACACGGAGGAACGACGGGAACCGAAACTCGCCCGGACAAGATGCAGACCACGGGCGCGAGGGGGCCGACCCACCTGGTCGCCCTTTACGTGGCCACCGCCGGTCTCCAGGGTAACGCTCTCGGCTCCGACGAGGAGGAAATCACGCTGCTGATCTACGTGCTCGTCGATGTACTGCAGAACAAGGTATTTACCGTTTAACACGTTCTAAATAATCATTTAAACCGGAGCTTGGAAATGATCGGTCGAGAAAAGGTTATAAAGAGAAGCTTGCTTAGGAAATTTAAACGAAGTTTTAGAACGAAGAGGTAAATTTCGTCGATTAACGAACGACGATTATATCTCGTTAGTCGTTATAAATTAGTTGTAACAACCGTATAGATTAGTTGTAATCGTTGATCATTAATCGGATTACTTTCTGGAACGGAGCGTAGTTGTCGATTTAATCCCAGAGTCACGCTAGAGGCGCGGATAGCAGCAGAAGCTATTAAGATACGAATTCGCGTGATATAATTTCGTTGTGCGCCGTAAGGAGAACAAGGAACGCGGAGTCGCGCGTTTTTTTTGAAATTGCAGTCACGTGACAGTGTGCGGTCCGCGCATCTATACGGACGCGTACACATAGAAGTATTTTGCGGGGAATCGGTTATACTATTTATATTATTTATATTTATCGGTTATATTATAATTATTAAATTTTCAACGATCGTCTGCGTCTCTGACACGAATGTGCTCTCGTGTACGCGTCGATCAGCGATCGTGGGGCAACGTCCACGCGATGATTCACATACACACATACATACACAGTATGGAGGGGAAAAAAGTCTCGATTCACGCTGATGAATCGCGCTTTTTATTGGGCGACACATTTTTCTATTGCATTCAAAGTCTCTCGATGCCTGCGCACGCTTAAAGTAATTGCTTCGGTTCTACTTCCGGTGTAACGAGTTGGAGCAGTGCTTGCGAGTCACGGTTAATGGCTCGTTGACGATCGTTCCCCGATGCTCGTTCGATCCTCGTTCGATACCATTCACGGCTAACACATTGTGTCGTCGTGGTCGTTTTGTGTGTGTCTGGGCGTCGAACGATCGAAACTATGGAAACTATCGGGAACGAGATTCATTGAACGGAGCGAGGAGCGTTGGCTGTCAATCCGAGGCCGAGTCCCGCTGCCACAGTGCCTGCCTCTCTGCCTCTGCGTGTCCCCGGCTGCCATTGTTTCTCGAATTGTCCGGTGGAGGCGGCGCATCGCGCCCTCGAAAGGTCGTCCATTACCTCCAACTTTGCCGACGAGATTATCCGGCGCCAATGGATGCCGTGTCTCTCTCTCTCTCTCTCTCTCTCTCTCTCTCTCTCTCTCTCTCTCTCTTTCTCCCTCGTTGATTCACGACGATCGGAATCCGTGCTTCCTTCCTCGAACGCGTTCCATAATCCTTGTTAACGATAACGATGATTCAGTTGTCCCAGTGCATAACACGAAATCGCCGCGAATGGTTCTCCGCGGCTAGTCTCGCTTTAAACAAGAAGAAGAAGCCTCTCGGCGGCGATTATTTACCAATTCGGTGCCAATATGTGCTCGCCTGATTGATCGTAATTGCGTAGTATTTTTTGTTGTTATCGAGGCGTTCGTTTAAGAGTGATTTGTTCGGCGTTACGCGTCGATGAACGATTCAGATTATTAATTCTCGCGGACGACGCCGCCGCGTATCCATATTCGATGAGGTTTTTAACGGTGTGCGTTCGCACTTTCGCGGAACGCACGGGAAAATAATAGCCGTATTGTAGAAGCCCGCGCAACTGGAATTGTTTTGAATTCGGTTTTCGCGTGCACGAAAGAACATCGTCCGTGTCTCTACGAACAGAGAGTCCTCGCGTTAGAGACCCCGCAACCGGTCATTAGCAGAAAGTATAATCTACCGGGAATTATAAGCTGCCCAGCAATATCCTCCAAGGACTTGGACGTGTCTTCGGAGAAGATTCTCAGCCTTGAAGACAATCTTATCGCGGGGGGGCCGGCGTGTCTACATACGGCGCACCGTGTGTACAAACTAACCGCAATGACCGTTCGCTGAAATACATTTCTAGAAGGACGCGCGTTCGTCTCCTAGCATTCACCCGGAAGTCGCGGCTCGGCGAAATTGCAGCGAGAACAGAGGACTCGAAATTGTCTCTAGCCGCAAGCGAACGTCGATTCTCTCCGGTCGAGGATTTTTATTTTTCTAGAGAAAATTTTATAAGCTAGAATGTCGGAGGTAGATTGTTGCCGTCGCGACCCTTCGAATTCCGTCGCCGCCGCTCTCTCTCTACCGTCGCGTTTTTTTAAATCGCGCATCGCCCGGTCGAGGATTTTTATTTTTCTATAGACAATTTTATAAGCTATAGGATATCGGAGGAAGATTGTTGCCGTCGCGACCCTACAAATTTCGTCGCCGCCGCTCTCTCTACCGTCGCGTTTCTTTAAATCGCGCAGCGTCCGGTCGAGGATTTTTATTTTTCTATAGAAAATTTTATAAGCTAGGATACCGGAGGAAGATTGTTGCCGCGCGACCTTTCGAATTTCGTCGCCGCCGCTCTCTCTACCGTCGCGTTTCTTTAAATCGCGCAGCGTCCGGCCGCGGCAACAGGTGCGTCCAGGTTTCTTTATTCTTTGTTGTGAATCGCCTTGCACGAGTGCGCCCGAGTTCCAGCTGGACGGTCGTTTCCTTTTTCCCCTCGAGTCACATACCTGACTATCTCCGATCGAGCCCGATCGGGGACAATGGCCGCCGTGCCGAGCCGCCTCGGTGAGCTCTCCTCTCGCCTCGCGAGGACCTCGAGGAAATCGAACCGATACCGTACTCTCTTCCACGTCGTATTCTACCGTCGCCGGGCCAGTTTCCGAATAACTACAACCACGAAATTTCAATCGATCCCTTAACGGTCGAGCCGGTAGTCGCAGCCTGATCCAACCCCGACAGCGTAACTACGCCGCGGATTTTTTTATGCGAAATAAAAACTTTCCGCCTCGATCGGCATATATAGAAATCGAATAAAAATCTGCTTCCATTTTTATTTATATAATCGCCAAGGAGATAAGAAAGCCCTTAACACTAGATTTACGGAATCCGTCAAGATGACGGGTCACTAATTTTTTAATTATAATAATAATAATAATAATACAATTATAATATAATATAATATAATAATACGATTATAATATAATATAATATAATATAATAATTTAATAGTACAATTATTCATATCGTTACGAGATATTTATTAAATTTACATCTTACGGCAAATGTTACAATAATACTTGTTCAAAATCAGAATAAATGTTTTACTTTTGTAAATTAATTTTCTCGTGCTCCGTAAATCTAGCGTTAATAATCTTTTCATTTTTGCACGTGAAAAGAATTCGTTCGCTATCCGAGCCCCGCTTCTTTTACCTCGGAATAATTTACCAATTTGTGAGAAAATGCAGACAAGCGTCGAGTTGATGCGCATCGCGGAAGGTGAACGGGAAGTGTAACGAAAGTTTCCAGTTCGACGGTTTCGTCGAGTGAAAAATCATGGAAGCTCCTTCGCTCCGGGACTTTTCCCCGATTTCGTTGGAACGGATCCGATTGCCGGGAACGACGACGAATGCTTTCACTTTTAATTCGCCGCGATAATAAAATGAATGGAGATTCCCGACGAAATATCGGCCGGAACGCGGCTATCTCGGGAGCTCCTGGTAAAGAAAATTAGTTTCTACACGTCGTTAGGTCTCGCTGTAAGTTTCCCTTCTGGTGGACATTACGCAAACATTCCTTCGCGACGAAAATGCGTTGTTCCCGTGCGAATCGAGCGCGGACGTAAAAATCGATCATACAAGCCCCGGGTTCTGCACGCGGCAAAAAAGTAAACGAGGGTCTACGACGTCTTCGACGTCGTCCGCGCGTTATCTCCGAGCGTTTTCCCGGAGCGGCGGTCGTTCGAACGGCACAGTGTAGCAACCGGCGAAGCGATTTTGCGAAAATGGCCGCGCAAATTGCAACCGGTTTTCTTTCTCCGGCGGCCCGTAGATCTCTCCGCAGATCCACGTTCCTCGGCGTGCGAAAACCGCGCGGACGTTGACTCGTGGAAAGCAAGAGACCGCGGTCGAAGTCGCGAGAAACGGCGAGCGGCGGCGAGTGGCGGTGACGGCGGTGACGGCGGCGACGGCGGCGAACGGTGGCGAGCGGCGGCGACGGCGGTGACGACGACGGCGGCGGCGGCTTCGGTTGCGCCGAACCGCGGAAAAACGGGGGCCGACGACGAGCTGGTAATGGCAGTAATTTCCGAGGACCGAGAATTACCGTCGGAGAAAATGAATTCCGGATACGAAACGCTGCCGCGGCCCCGTCGGCCAGGTAACATGGCCGTCGCGCGACCGTGGCGCGTGCTCCCGCGGAGCGCTCGCCTTTGCTTTCTGTGCCTCGTCCAAGACCGTACTATCTCGAGCCAGAAGGAACTGCTGAGAGATCAAAGAATTACGGGCCGTGGATGTTGCGTGAGACTCGGAGGGGTGCGCACCCTTTGTCGCCGCGACACCCTGCCGGGAGCCTCGAGTTTTCGGCCGTGGGCCCCGGTTTGGCGAAGGGTGAACAAATTGCGTCGTCGCTTGTCGTCACCTCTTAATCGGATCACGCGGCTCAGGTGTCCGACGGTCCACGGTGGCACGGAAATCCGCTTTCTCTGGCCAAAATACGAAATCTTAATGTATTGAAACCTGAGTGCCTCTTACAACTGCAGTAGGCAAAATATTATTCGCTTCGGGCCATCCTGTGCTATGATATACAGGTTGTCCCAGGTTTTAATGTTCAAACTTGGTCCTGTCTCTTATACACATCTAGATGTGTATAAGAGACAGCCGTAATTCTTTGATCGCTCAGCAGTTCCTTCTGGCTCGAGATAGTACCTGTCTCTTATACACATCTAGATGTGTATAAGAGACAGCCGTAATTCTTTGATCGCTCAGCAGTTCCTTCTGGCTCGAGATAGTACCTGTCTCTTATACACATCTAGATGTGTATAAGAGACAGCCGTAATTCTTTGATCGCTCAGCAGTTCCTTCTGGCTCGAGATAGTACCTGTCTCTTATACACATCTAGATGTGTATAAGAGACAGCCGTAATTCTTTGATCGCTCAGCAGTTCCTTCTGGCTCGAGATAGTACCTGTCTC